ATTGTGCTATTTGTGGTTTTCATTTGTTTTGCAATTATTTTGCTTTTCAATTATTTCCAACGTCCTTTCGCACGAAACCATTCAGTGAATTATTGGGAAACTAGGAATGCGGAACACAGCACTACGGTAATTGCACATGCTACTAGCATAACATAATGTGTATGTAATAGTTCGCTACATAAAATATACCTGAAACTTTATATAGATGTAATGCATCACGCCTAGCTATGCTGAAAACTCTTTGACGGCTGGCAAACTTTTCGTCATTTTTGGGGATCATCAGGTAGGTTCAGTCCCAAATATTCGGTCAACCTTTTTTGATCCTAAGTTGGACATATTCTGACGAATAAGCTCAAAGGAACACTTTTAAAAGAACAGTGCGCAACGTTCAGTTTCATTATACATTTTGACTTCTAGATCCGCCACGAGATTATGCTTAGTTTGCCTCCAGTGGCGTTTAATCCTGCTGCTTAACTTCCAGGCAGAGAATACGGCTTATAAACGTATTCGCAACCACCGTGTATCCGAAAATGAATTGTTTCACATCAAGAAACACTGTTAAGAGAAGACAAGCCACCATAAAGCAACGTATATCAAAGGTGATTACCCTCAAACTAAACGCTGTGAGATATTCGCGCGTTCATTCCCGGAGCGTACAGCGCACAAGCCTCTCAGGAAAAGACAGGCGGATAATCTCGATGACACATAAGCTGTCATTTTCTACTGGACTGCCTGGCCACATGTCTCCTGTCATTAGGCTCTGAGTTTATGAGGTCACTATTTGATGCATGACCGAATCTGTTATTGGCGTATTAGTCCGATTTGTCGCTCAGGGTCCTAATAGGTGTGGACCATATGTGTGGGCACCTCATTCTCGCCGTTTTGCTTAAGGAAGAAGGGATATCCCACAGATCTAGATTCTTTACATATTAGCAAAACGTTAAACACTCATAGTTGTACGCATTTAAACGCTTGTATTATTGAACCAATGCTGATAATGATTTTGAGGTGAGCAATCAGTGAAACGCGAATAATGTTCTGAAAACGATGTACAAACATACTGTTTTAGTATCCGGAGACTAAACGCTCTAAACAAACCAACATAAATCAACCGTGCGAAGGTACGAACTAGATGAAATCATGCTCTGAGGGATCAGAATGTCAGACAATGGGGGTTTAGTATAATAGATCGGAGCTTCTTGCGTCCTTACAACGATCACAGCACGACCTTCCGGAAATTTATATGTTGACCATGTGGATACATATGTAATATTCTCCTCTTTTCTCCATAAAAAAGTTTTCTCAAACAGCTGCGAACCTTGAACTACCACAAAGGGTGGAACATGAAGCCAAGTAACAATGTAGGAGTTGCACCACCATATTCGGTAGACAACAGTATGTTATTTGTCCTCCAAGCTTCGCGGGCTATGTTGAGTTAAACGAAACAGTTGTGAGTGACACAAGTGGAAAAAGTGAACGAAAGCTGACTAAATTCTTGCTGTCTGAATGTTCAGACATAGAGCTTAGAGGATCAAATACGGAATAGATCATTCAGCATTTAGCCATTCCTTGCAAGACTGTGTTTGTTTGTGTGTCTTTTTATCGCCTCATAAATCACCTTTTCATAGAAACCAAAAGAGCGTCAGGGCTATTCCACTTATGCTCGCTTAAGAGGTTCACGACGACATTTTATTCAAATGTCGATATCAGGCTCACTTCTTTTGGTCAAACTTGACTATGTTATTCGACCTACAATGACTAACTGACTCATCTTTACCTTCAACGCTTGAATATAATCATCAATCACAAATCACGAGTAGCAGCACCCGTATGTGCGAAGAATTCCTAATAAGATTACCCAACTAACCAAATTACGGCACCAGTACCCTTCAACTCCTTGTGATATGCGAATGCCGAGAGTNAACTCCTTAGGATATGCGGATGCCGAGAGTGGCTACAAAGTACGCCAATCCATTCGCCAACGTAAACGTCATGGGCCCCACACCAACAAGCTTTCGACTAAGCGCAGCTCACAAAGAATATCGAGAACGAACTCCATGGCAAAAAGACAAATGGACTGACTGACGTTGGTGACTGTTTTATTTTGTGAGTATCGGTGAGTTCTCAGTGAGCTCTCATTTGCGAACCCTGTGCAGCATTTTCCTGTGGTACGATGTAAATCATTGCCGTCGCAGCAACTGAACTTCTTGCCGGTGCAGTCCAGAATGTACATGGCATTTATTATGTTACAGTAAATCTTATTCGCAGCCAATCAGCCTTTTCTGCCAGAGTTTTCAAATACGCTTGCGATGGTCCTGTTAGATGTTGATAAGGGTCATAACGCTTTTCCTGAGTTGGAGGCTTCATCCCCACAATCAGTGTTCTCGTTGAGGTCGTGAGTTAAAACCGTTGAGCAGATGAAAACGGCCGAGTTGCAGCTGATCATTGCCGCCGTGTGTTAAACTAAGATGCTGTGCTCATGTTCCCTGATAGTTGCAACTGTTTCTGTGTTTTATGAGATAAAACAGCCCCTGGAGATCCAACCTTGGTTTTTACGACAAGCTACTGATATTTTAGCGTGGCCTATTGCGGCTGCCACCTGGACCTAACGATTACGACGACCGCTATGCAGTTCCTATTGTTGATGGAGGGTGTGAATTTCGTCCCGGGCAAGCATGTTGTTGAGATAGCGTCGCAAGCCATTCCTGTTTATATGGGTGTTGAGATTATCTGTACCAGGGAGTAAAGTTTCGCTCCACCTAGGTATGGAAAATGCGGGATTTAAATAGTTAGATCCTTGCCAGACTGTCCCAATGATAAATGAAACCGACTTGCGGTCCATATGGACGGCAGTTTGACGTGTGTCTAGTCATTTTCTCAATGTGAATTTCAGAGTTACATATCCCTACTAAAATCCTCATCTGAAATGCGATTAAATGTGGGCTGACTTTGGTCGACGGTTACTGATGTTTGCCTAACTCCCGATCACTTGGCCAAACAATCAAAGTCACACCCCAAGATATATGGATTACCGTCAGCCTTACTGCCAAGTTTATGTGCCCTTTACGCCATTTCGTTGCAGCGTCTCATGTGGATCCTGGAAACTTAGGAAAGACAAAGAATACAGGGATAGTTTTTGGGAGTAAGTGTCCCCCCTGAAGACTATCATTCAGCGTCATACAGACGGCTGGGTTAACTAAGTAGCCTGGTATTCAACGAAGCGTGTGCATAAAGGTGTTCGAAACTTTCACTGTGGAAGATTTTGTCAAGGGCCTTATTACCTTAACTGATTATCAAATGAACGCTATGGTTGGTGACTTGGAAGATAATGGGTAAACAATAACGTGACACGATAAACAGTTGTCAGGTGTCTTCCACGTAGTGCTTCGCGGCCGAAAAGCTGAGATAGTGTAACAGCCACTTCACTGAAGATATTTCGGAGGACGCTTGGGATCAGCGAAGTTTGTGTTTTTGTGTCTGTGTGTTTGCCGCAGAACATCACAAACGAGAGACAGAGTCAGCTGGGTTCCAGTTGGGTCTCTGGAAAAACCAAATTAATTTGCAAATGAGTGTATATTTGCTAAGTTCGTGTTCTGTTCAGGCTCGGGTGTGCTGGGTTTTCCCAGCAATAATTGGACTTGACACCCGTCACTGAATTAGGAAAAATAGGCATTTAACTTGGGTTCGTATCGCAAGAGCCAGGAAACAAGAGTGAGGAAATAATGTAGGCCAATTATGAACTCTGTGTTTGAGGTTGCAAGTGTATCACCCGGTGAAACACTGAAATCATGAATGTGACTCTGCTAATTACTGAGCCTAGTCGCCCTATGCTAGCGTTTGGGTACAGATACTGTACTAAGCACCAAAAGCGGGGAAGACCGAAATACGGCGTGTCGTATTTGAGTTGTATTAAACGGAAGCATTTTAGAGAGTGGGACGTTTTCTGGATGCGACACTAGCAACCGGTACTCAGCGGTCACTGAAACACGAACGGCTGTTAAATCCCCATTTTCGACCAATCAGAGTTCTCCCTCAAGCTAGACCGACAAGCCGCCCAACCATGTGCAACATGATTATTGGCCGTTGCAACTCTTACTTGAGAATGACTAGGCGGTTTCAGCACAGGGTTCCGCTTAACAGTCAAATAATTGCAACATACAGAGCGGATTTATTCCAGGATTTCGCCTAATCTTTGTTAGTGCGGAGTTCCGCATTTGGCCTGTCACGGCATCTTGGGATCCAGGTGATTCATGTTTTCACGGATTGATATACAGGATCAAGGGATTCGCCCAAGCTTTCCAGATTGGGTTTGCTCTTATCGTTCAGCGGCTTCTGTTCACCTGAAAGGCGCAAGCTAAAAAAGCATAGCACTGCGCTTCAACTCCTCAGCCCGGGGCAGTAATATTGCCCGTGCGACGACGCAAATAAAAGGCGTCTGGAAGTGAATTGAACTGGATACTAGATGCATCATGAACAGCCGTCGGAGAAAGGTTATTACACGCACTATCTACTGGGAATAATAAAATTTTTGCCTAATAAGATGTGGGCTCTGAGCTTGAAAGTCTTACCATATGCACGCCGCGTGTTTGATAGGTCAACGGTGAAAAACATGTTGGCTAAACCTTGGCCCCAAAAACCACCCACTCCGGTCGCCCAACGGTTGACCGTGACCGCCGGCGTTTTAGTCGAATACGGTCGAAATACGTTTAAAACCAACGACCCTGCCAGGTGCTGCTCAAAAGGCACCTGTTGCGCGCAACTGCCCTACTCTCTGCGCTCTCGGGCCAGTCTGGACCCCTACAGCCAAGTAAGTCATACTACGGAGTCGCCAACTCCGGGAAGGGTCCCCCAAGATACCCCTAACAACCGCTGTCCCGCGGTCCAGACTTTTGAGTCAGAGGCTGGGGCAGGGTCCCTGAACAAAACCCCGACGTCCCTCCACCGCTCGTGGGTCAAACTTTTGAGTCAAAGGTTCAAGGTTGGGCACCTCAACTAAACTCCCTAATTTTGCCTGGGCAACCAGGAAGTATCGTTTGCTCTTGCAGCTTTTCTCCCACCGACCTTCATTCCCTCCCAATCAATTGTACAGTGCAGTGCGATCTAATCATCTGCCAATCGCCTAGCCACTGTTCCGTATCTCAACCATCGCACAGAAGAATGAACCAAAATATTCACCTACTAACCTCAAAAGATCTATTCCACGTTGCAGCCTTTAGTGTCCGTACTCCACGTCAAATTGGGCAACAGGCATCTCTTACTGAAACCTCACTTTCCCACTCTATTTACGTATGTTGTGTCTCCGAAATACGCATACAAGACCCGTTTGGTCATCTTATATCGCTCGGGGTGAACCCAGAGTGTTTGCACTTTACTACTCGGGCGTCTGGTAATCGTGATACAATGGCTTATGGTATCTACGGTGTGAGGGTTTTAATTAGTCCCAGAACTAATTGTGCTTCACTAGAATCGATTCCGGTGAACAGTTTTCTCTGCGTTGTCCGGTTGACTGGCTCATTCAAGTTTAATCCATCACTGTGCTAAGCGGTGTTTTTTGTTATGTCAGCATACTCTTCGTCAAATAGTATCTCTGAGACTGAGAACGTCCTTCTATCGAATTTGCCACAGTTGCTTCGGTCAGCGGGAACTAAACGTATCACCATTCTGGCAGATGGTGCAGATGCTCCGGTTGACAGACCAAGTCCCACCTTAGAAACCGGTGCGGGAATGATGCTCACCGCCCAGATAATGGAGAGCGTTGCACATCATCTGTTTCTGGCCAGTACAAGCGACCACGTCGTGT